GGAAGGAAGGAAGGAAGGAAGGAAGGAAGGAAGGAAGGAAGGAAGGACAGGGCCATTTTCCTTATCCAGGGACCACTTGTCCAGCGACCTCAGCAATCCAGACCCAACATAGAGTCCGCAGACAGCCAGACAGCTCTTGCCGTGTCTGTGATCTAACGCTTATTTGCTTTCTCTAGGGTAGCCGGCTTCAGCCCGTCCCTCCCAGCCTGTTTGCCTGTATTGTATGTACTCTAACAGGCCTGATGTGTTTCCTAGCTCAGTATTGAATCAGAATCTGAAGGAGGAAGGGGCAGAAGAGACTGGCACATTGTTTTCTGAGTCTGAGTTAATAGCTCCTCTGGACCTTCCTCTGCTGTGCGGAGCGCTGGGTGCAGAAACCATCTCCTCTCACATTCTGGACCCGCCAGGAACATTCAGAGTCCAGATACCCAGGCTGCTTCTTCAGTGTAAGGAAATGAAGGCGTGCTGGGGAAAGGTCTCAGACCTTAGTGGTGTTTGAAACACAGGAGCATTCTACTGCAGGGCTCACAAGCTGCCTCAGTGAGACTTTCTGAATCATGGGTTCTCCTTTGTACAACAGACCCAGCTACAGGTAGGGAGGAGTTCACCAAGCCACAGGACAGTGCCAGGGCCTCCTGAGAGCTGGCCATGAATCCACGGTGTGTGTAGCCTTTGGGCTATACAGAGATGGCTGAGCCCTGGCATACAGGTTCTGTGAGCACCGTGTTAGGCAATGGTGGCTGCTGCCCATTCTTGGGTGACGTCTGTCCCGGGGGTCCACGTGGCTCTAGAAGTCTGCGTGTTCCTACAGTACGGGCAGGGAGGCTGTAGGTTTAGGGTAGGTTGTTCTGGGACTTGAATGCTTTCCTTCTGCACCTAAAGGACAGGGCTCCCTCGGCAGGTCCAAGCCCAGCTCTTCCAGAGCTTTTAAGTTGGGCACCATGTCTCCCTCCAGCAAAGCTGGCACACCCGTTCGTCTCTTTACCTGGGTGGTTGAATGCATACGCCTTGCTGGGCCTGTTTGAGGGACTCGGGGCGTTGCGATTCCTTTCTGATTGGAACTGAGAGCACCCACTTAGGCCAACAACTTCACACACGGAAAAAAATCACAGGAAAGCTCCATGTGGACTCGGAGCTGACCCTGTAGTGACGTCATTTGGCTCCGCTTGCCTTCCAATTTGCCTCCCTGCGAGGAGAGCGCAGCACAGCAGACTAACCAACCTCCTTGCAATCACCAGAGCATGTGTACAGCCTGGGGGGTTCAGCATGGAGTGGTTGCCGCCAGTGAAACGGCCCAGACTCTCACTCAGCACAGATGTTCCCCGGCGTAGCTGCTCCCGGATAGAGAGGGCAGCTGTAACGGGTGACGGTGTGGCGGCCGTCTGTGTTGGGGCCGCATCCTTTCCTGTCCTCACGCTGGCCTTCACCACACAGAGCGAAATCCACACTCTGCACAGCCTGGCCTTTGCACTCACCTCTCTTGAGACCAACCAGCCACCCAGATGGCAGGCTGATACTGCAGCCTCCACGTCCCTGGGCAGGGCTATCCTGATGTGGGTCCAGGGGGACAGACCACAGGGCCAGGAGGAAGAGGACCTGCTTTTCTTTCATGGTGGGATAGGGCTGCACTGATTAACAGAGGCATCAGTCAGAACATCCGGTGCCTGGAGAGAAGAGCTGCTTGCTGGGGGCTAGAGACAGGCTCTGGAGGGATGGCCGCTGGATAGCCCCTGGAGCTGCTAGCCCTCGGCTGGTGGCAGACAGCACTGGCGCTTACCTGTTTTCCTGTCCTGAATTCCCACACACACCAGTCCTTTCTCCCACTTCAACCTTGGTAGGTAGATGTCTTGCCCAACTCTGCACGTCAGTCAGTTTTCTCTCCTGCCCAATGGGAATAACACGGTTACATGAGAGACCAGCTGAGAGCCTGGTGGGAGATCCCGCGTGCCCAGCGACTCGGGCAGGGCAGGTGTCTGTCCTGTGGGGAAAAGATTGCATCACCTTGCTTCCGATAAGCAGAAATCGCTGGCAGGAGAGGGCCTCGTCAAGCTGGAGACTTAACCGTGGGGCTGCATTTGAGGGGTCGACAGAGCCACTGAGGGAAATGTAAATTTTGCATCTACTGCCTGGCTGGCTGTCTCAGAGCCTGGAGCCCCCACAACTCTGGCCAGCAGGTATGGCGGACAGCCAGTGTCCAGCAGTCTTGCCTTTCACCAGTGGGCTCATCAGGGCTAAACTCTTTTCGTGGGCATTTTATTTGTACACTTCCCTGGAGTGGACACCAAAGAAGTTTTCAAATGTTTCACGGGCTGCTAATTTCCCCCGTGACCTCTTTTGTTGGGGCCTAACCCCAGCCAGAGGTTTCATGCCATGAAAGCCAGCGCCTGACACAGAACCCGACGGCAGGGTGACAATGAGGCCTTTATCTGCTTTAACCAGGCCCAGCTAAAATGTAAGGCAGAAGGAATTGGTGTGGTGCTCGGAAATCCTGGGTGGCACTGATACAGTGGTTTTGAAGGCTCTCTAGGGGTTGAGGTATTGCACCAGGCTAAGGAAAGAGGGAGTGGCCTTTGTCCCACTGGCCTCTTTAGAAGGCCAGCCTGCCCTGAATGGCTACCTGCTTGGCCTGGCCCGTGGATACCACTAGGTATCTAGGGAGGAGGCCCACTGGGCTCCAGCCCATTCTTTAGTGGCCTAATGAGTCTCTACCTCGTCTTCCCTTGCAGACTGTGACTCCTACTGCAAGGCCTCCAAAGGGAAGCTGAAGATGAACATGAAGAAATACTGCAGGAAGGACTATGGTGAGTCAGGGGCAGAGGGGCTGCTCCGGGTGGTTTGCAAGCAACTCCTGTCTCAGGAGTCCCTGGGATCCACGAGCTCTCTTGCCCAAGAATACCCGTCTCTTGTGTGTCAGAGAAGCCAGAGGAGCCTGGGTCTCTGCACAGAGGCATCTGGATCCTTGGGGGCCCTTGTCCGCACCAGGTTGACTTTTTCTTTATGGACTAAAGACTGGGGCTTTGCTGACCCCTCGTGTAGTGGGGATTTCTGTAGTCAGCAGGAAGAGGCGCCCTCTTGGGTGGGGAAGGGTTTGGGTCTGGTCTCTGGACTCGGCATTGGCCTCTCTTTTCTGGTGCATCTTCTCAGGTCTGACAAGGCCTGCATGTGCTGTGCCCCTCGCGCCACTGCCTGGCTCTGCTTTTCTCCTTCTCCAGCAGCCCTGGAGAAGGAGATTATTCTGCTTTCTGTTTCTCCAACAAAATATCTGAGGTTAGTTTGGGGCTCACAGTTTCTGAACTCTGAGGGCATGTCACCATTGTCCACTCGGCTTCTAGTGAGGCCTGTGCTCTGTCAGCCCAGGGTAGAATGTGCCATGGAAGAGAAGACACAGCGAACTAGGTGTCTTGCAATACCTCTGTTAAGTTCTAACGACCTTTCATGGGGACCTTTGTGAGCGTGAACCCAGCACCCCTCCAGAGGGCCCTACCTCCTCTCAGCACCCCTCTGTGGGGGACCTCCGTACAGGTTCTGGTAGAGTTGTCCTATGTTCTGAGAGCGGAGGTGGTTTCTGGCTTCAGGGTGCCCCTTGTTCAGGAAGGTCATTTGAAGCTATGGGAATCTCTTCAATGCAGCTCAACCTACCACAGCTGAAAGGGAGTCACACAAGTTCTACAGAGGGCTCAGAGGAGCCAGACACTTTGGGATATGGAGGGCCTCAGGGAGCCTGGCTTGAGAAGGCAGTATGTGGTAGGGCACAGGGGCCAGGCAGGGTGGAGGGCAGGGGCAGGCAGTGAGTATTGCAGGGGGTTGCCCAGGAGCATGATGGCCCCTCACTGGGCTCTGCCGGGCTGTGGAGACTCTTCTGTGTATCCTTGGTTGGACCTACACAGCCTGGGTGAAGCACGTCTAGGTGGCCCTTCCATACTCGGAAGACCTGGTCAGCCTGGCGGGGGAGGAGGGGGCCCATGAGCTGGAGGACAGGAGAGAACCTGCCTAGATACAGAGGAGGTGAGGCCAGGCCAAACCCTGAAAGGGAGCCGCCTCATGGGCTGCCTAATCCTGCTTGCTTGCTGACTGACGCTCCGGCAGGGGGCCAATTAGGAAACATATTTCCTTCACATCCTGGGCACTTGGGTGTTCCAGAAGCTGCTAATTAGAACCTAGGTTTTGTCACCCCTGCTGAGAGAAGAGCCCCTTTCTCCTCCAGCCCCACCAAGAGTGCTTGACCTAGGGCAGCTGGTGAACTCTGTTAGGCTCCACTGATCCTGAGTGCTAGCCTGTGGGGAGAAACCCACAGACCGAGGAGGCCTATGGGAAGAGTCTGGCTGGCCAGTCTGAGGTGCCCCAGCTCTGTGCCCAGACCAAGGGGGTGGGTGGATATCAGGCCTGGCTAGCAAGACTAGAGACCAGGGAGAGAGGCTTATGCCAGGACCTTGCCAGGTTGCTGGCCCCCATCCAGAGAGACCCCTCCCGCCATGGTGGGGAAGAGTTCATCCCTTTCCCATGTGCAGGTGTCACCGGCTGGCCTTCCATTCCCTCGTGTTTCAGATCAAGGGATACAATATCCAGGTGTGGACACGCGTCTGAGGGGCATGTCGGGAACTCATGGAGGTCAGTCACCTGTCCCCACCTCTGCTGAGCTGCCTCAGTCCTCTGTTGCCCCCTAGGGGCGTCCGGTTCACCTTACAAATGCTTAGAAAAGCCCAGGCTGAGCCGAGAGAGAGGACCTCCACCCCCGCCACGAAGGCAAGGGTCCCAGAAAAACCTCACTCTAGAGGGGCCCTTCTCCTGTGGACGGTGTGTGTGTAGACACCTGTGTATATACACGCCCCCACTTGCCACCTTGAGTACAACCCCCCTCCACACACACCAGCCCAGATGTAGGTAGAGTACCTCTGTCTGGGGCCGCCTGCCCTGAGACTCCAGCACTTGGAGGCCCATAGCGCCGGAAGGCTCTGCCCTGGAGGCCTCTGCCCCGGAGGCCAAGCACTCTGGCCCAGCACCCCGGGTTGTCCTTGTCCCTCCACTTCCCGGGTGTCTCCTTTCCCTTGTTCCTCTGCTTCTTGCGGAAAGGCTCCTCTCTTGTCTCTCGCTTTTGCACGGCAGCCGCTGCTCACAGGACGCCACCCGTGTGCAACACGACACGCACACGTGGTCCTGCCCTAGGGACCTAGGGAGCCCCTGGTGCTTTATCTCGTTCCCACCCTCAAGGTCTTCCCTCTGCACACACTCACCAAGAGCCCCAGGCCCTGTCCTGGTGCTGCACTCTCAGACCTGCATGGCTCGAGGGGTTGGCCTCGGGGAGCACACCTTTGGAAGAGACTCACACATACACAGAAGCAGCCTGAGCTCAGCTGCCCGGGGCCTGGCTTGGCCTTGTGGAGGAGGGAAGCTGAGTAGCCTGTGCCCACAAAGCGGGGGTCCCTAGCGGTGGGGAAAGTCTCTTTCTCCCTGGGATGAGCATGGGCCTCGCTGTGAAAGGTGAAATCATCGCTCTTGCCGGTTCTTGGAAAAGAGCTTCATTCCCAGAAGTGTTCATCAGTCACCCCCTTGTTGAGAGACGTCCTGGCGCTACGGGGAGGAAACTCAGGGTGCTCTCACGGGAGCCCGGAGTGGTCCACCTGACAGCCCACGCCGGGGGCTTCCGGGCACTCAGCTAGGGGAAATGCTGTGGACATCTTGGCCCTGTGTGGCGTGTGTGCTAATGTGCTGTGGCCCAGGTGGCCCCAAGCACCATGGGAGGGGGGGTGTCTCTGGTGTATCCCAGCATGCCTTTGTGCCCAGGAACTCTGGAGGCAGTGGAAATGCAGGGTGAGGATTAGCTGAGCCAACACTGGGCTTCCCCGTGGCCCTTGGGAATACCTGGTCTTCCTGCCGCATCCTTACCTCAGCGCTCCTCAGTGATGTGGGAGGGCTGGAGACAGGGACGGAAGGTGGGAGGTGTTCTTATGCCTGTGGTTCACTAAGATCCAACAAGATAAAACAGGGTGTCAGGTGCTGTGGGATCCTAGGCCTGAGCCTTCTGCTTCCCCATGCTGGTGACTTAGCCTTTGGCAGCCAGGACTAGACATGGCAGCCCTTAGAGGAAATCCTACTGGGACGCTGGCTCTCCCAATCAGACTTGGAGGAAAAGCCACAGAAACATCTTGATGGGCAAGGAGGAAGTCACCGTTTCCCACGGCAGGGAGCCCAGAGCTGGTGGGCAGAGGTGAGGGCTCAGCGAAGCTTGAAGAGATGGTGGCAGAGATGGAGCGGTGCTGTGAGGACATGGATTAGTGGTGATGAGCAGGGCAGGAGCCAGATGAGGAAGTGAGTGGATTACAGGATGCTGGACGTGGAGGCGCCTCTGTCGTGATGCAAGCTCTCCTTTGAACAGCAGACGGGGCCCAGTCCTAGCCTAGCTCCTCTCTCAGACTGAGAACGAGGAAGTGGGGGTCTCGTAGCTGTGGACACAGAATCTTGCCACCTTGTGAGTATCCTCTCTCCTCCTCAGTGACCCTGGGACCAACAGTGATTCTGAGCAGCCTCAGTCTCTTCAGAGAGCTAGCCTTCTTAGCAGCTAACTCACAGAGATGAACTTACCACACCCGGTTGCCCTGGGTATGGGATCAGGTAGTAGAGTGCCCTCAGGCTGCCTTGTAAGACGGATGAGGCTCTGATGTGAGCCGGAGGCTGCTGGGAAGAGCCCTGTCACCCGGACATCCTCTGCTTGAGAGAAGGGGATGCTGACTAGACAGCAGCATGCAGCATGGTGTTTCAGAGGCCTCCCGACCCTCCCCGGGGTCAGTGGCCCCCTGAGGATCCTCCTGTTTCCCCAGCCAGATGTGACCCCCTTCTTCCTGAGGAGTGCCAGCCACATATGGATGCCAGATGTGGAACTGGATCTTCATGAGTCAGCCTGAGGTTGTGGAATGTGGGTGACCACCAAGCTGGGCAGGAAAGGCCAGGCAGCCACAGTGACAGCTGGACAGCAAGGGTTCTGTACCCACAAGAAAGTGGGTCCCCTGGGGAGCCAGGTGGGGGCTGGTGCAAGCAGAATGACCCTGCAGCCCTACCCAGCCTTGAGCTGGCCTCCTGCCACCGCCGCTTCAACCAGTCCAGAAAGGAGAGATGGCTGTTCTGGGTATGGGCAGTGCCAGGCCCTCAGTTGCCCGTGTGCTGGTCTGTCGTGTTGTTGTTTCTTATAGTCTCCTGTGGTTTTTGTGGGGGAGACATGGTTCAGGTGGCTCAGAGAAACCACACAGATTATCTGGTAAAAGGGATCCCAGTCTGTTGCAAAGGACCCCGGGATGCCAGTCTCTGGTCCTGGGCTTCCTATCCAGCGGTCTTCATGGATGCGCCATTTTCTCCCTCCCTGTAGTCCTGGAGGATGGCCCCCAAGCAGCATGACCTTCTAAGCTATCACACGTGAACTGCTTAACCCAGGGACACTGGCTCTGCTGCCGATGATGTCAGAGCGCCACCCTCTGCAGGGGTCACTGCTGGCTGTGTGCTCTGGTTCCTTCAGTAGGGCCTAGGCACTTTATTTAGTCCAACTCTAGAAGGTGGTTTGACTTTAAGGAACTTGTGGGTGTTCAGAGCCAGGCCTGTTTCGGATGGGGCGTGTTGGTTCTGGTCCAGCATGGGACAGAACTCCAGATGTAGGTATCTTGGGGCAGCTTGGTATGGTAGTGCCATTCCAGCCAGGGCATCTGGGTAGAGGAGCTACTCCTTGTTCTCCTGTAGCTTCCTGGAGCTGGAGCCTTGAGGGGGAAGTCGGGGTCAGCAATACTAGCACTTGCTGCAACTGTTTCTGGGTGCGCTG